GCTCGATGGCTCTAAAATATTCTTGGAAGGACTTTGGGTAGATCGTATTGAAAGACCAATCATGGATGACTCAGAGGGAGGTGAATCGACTGCAAAAGTCTTATGTCTTTGATCCCACCATCAGTCTTTGGGTCCCTGGTGAGAACGACCAAGCTACCTCCTTATATGGTGTTGACCTCCTCTTCTACAAGGATCAATATCGTTTTACCCTCCAGCTGCCTTGCTAACAAGAGTTACACACTATCTTTACCCATTACTACATCATCCCCGCTCAAACTGTCATGGCAGTTTGGTGATGGTGTTCTAGCACGACAGCGGAGGCCTTGCATCGACGAATAATAATGTTATGATGATGGCAGTGCCTCGTGATGGTGATCTAATAGTGGTGGTGATGGCTAGGCATCAGTCGGGTGACGTTGGCAGCCTAATGATGCTGGTCTGACGCGGCGGTTATGGCCCGGCGCCAAGCAAGTGATTGTGGTCCATAAACAATGATGAACTGCGATGCTGGTTCGACAATTATGGAGCTTGAGAATCTTAAAGTGCTTAGAGCTCTCTATAGTATTCTTGTCTTGGTCCAACCCCCTTCATGAAAAGAGTGATGGTCTATTTATAAATTTTTGTAGTAGCGTCCTCAATAAATATTATGATTCCTTAATTGGATATAGTTTTATGATTATTTGACTACCTTACTGAAGCCAAAATTGAGTTAAATCAAGCTCGTTGATTTGTCTATTCGAGATACTCAATTTTTCTATTGGCCTATCAGATATTAAAATCATTTGGTATGTCAAAGTATGCTCCAAAGCTTCTCCTTATGTCATGATCTAGGTTCACTTAAATTCAGATCAGATCATTTTTTATGCCGCGTAGTTTATCTTACCAAGACACTTCATTTGATAATAAATTTGGGTGTGAAGGTTTTTAATTTGACTTTTAAAGCTTTCGGTCCCAATATGCCTTGAGATTTGTTCTTTATCAAGGGAAATTTTAAGGGATGCATCAATGGTGTGCACAAAAAAAGTGTGAGTAGAATCTCAGGGAGATCTAACAATCCAGATGGGAAAAGACATACCAAAGAAGATCCAAATGGACTTATTAAGGCCAAGGCCATCTAAGGAAACTGAACAATCTGAACTTGAGCGGTTCAGCGGACACGGGATAATCTGAGTCGTTTACCACGCTAAAATCAACCCAGGGGAGAAACAAACCCTTCAGATCATGCGGTTATATCAGAAACATCCATCAGTCTCCCCAAATATCATTAATTACCTATAGAACAACATGTTATAGCCATCACTTAGAATCTCTTCATCTATGGTGGCTACATATCAGATTATGATGATTCACCATCTGCTCGATCGTCTAGCTTTGCTCTGTCGACAGGAGTTCCTTATCAGGGATCGAGGATCGACAGTTGGACCAACAGACTGATTTGTATTACTTAGCCGCTCGGATCAATCTAGCTAATCGCTTGTCATTAGAGATCAAGCAACTGATAACATTGACCAAGCCTAGCCAACCAGTAGTACCTACCAAGGCCTCATTAGCCTAAACAATTGGTAGCATCTATCAAGCTTAGCTGATCAACAACACCCATTGAGTTCATGTCAATCCAACTAGAAAGTAGTCAGATTTTTTGCTCACATATGGAAAAAACTTATAATAGCCTATATAACCCTACTAAAACAGAGACATAGATGTAACTTCACATATTGTATCATTCTTTTTCTATAATTAGAGAATCATTATATAATTAAATATTTACACACTTGCTACAAATATTGTTAATTCACTTTTCATCTCTCTCTCTCTCTCTCTCTCTCTCTCTCTCTCTCTCTCTCTCTCTCTCTCTCTCTCTCTCTCTCTCTCTCTCTCTCTCTCTCTCGTCTTGTGCTGTATTCTTTGAGTGTGATTAATGGACAAATTTGGATTCAACATATTATAATAATATTTGTCTCTCATTTTATTATATTTATTATTGAAAATAATTCTTCAATGAAATAAATCCAATGTCATGAAAGTAATTTCATCTGAGTTCAAAAAGTCCCAAATAACACACTTAAAAAAATAATTAGAAACTTTATGGCTCTATTTATGAAACCAAACAATCTTTAAATCGTACGCTTACATACTTAAAAAATACTTTATAACAAATAAATTAACTAAGGTCGCTTGACAAAATAATTGAAGATTTTCACTAAAATAATCAAAAGTCATTCGAAAAAATTATAAAAGACCTCTACTTTATTTTTATATGTAATGTTTCAAGATTATAAAGAGCTTAGAGAACTGAAGCATCTTGAAGCACTACTAAAAAATAAATATTGACTATAACTACCAACAACCATTATTGTTAGATCGTCTTCATCTAATTTGTATTACCTACAAATTCTCGCTTGACCACCCTCTTGTAAACATCATCAACTTCTACCAACCGACGCCGACTACTTCTTCGACTTAAATACCGTCTCCCAACACCAATTGTAATTGTTCGATGATTATCGTCAAATTCTCGACTATCACAAATGCCCGTCGCCCTCCATTATTTCTCTAAACTTTGTTATATTTATAGTAAACCAAGTCAGCAATTTAGACATTATAATGTATGATTCTACACCAAGGGAGAAAATAGACATTAAAAATCTTTCATTATTCAGTAAATTATTTTCATTAAGACATTGCTTGAGCATGATTTATGCAAGAAGTAAATAAAAACTTTTATGATGTTCTTTTCAGTAAAAGCCTCGCCTATCAAAATCTGTAGGAGATTGTCAGTATTGCTCAGACATGACATCAGATGATGTCATCATTTTTTCTTAGACACCTAGCAACCGAACCGCAAATATTTATTTTTCCCCTCATCTTTTTAACATTTTTCATGTGGAGATTTTGTCGCCCTACAAATTAAAGGTTGTGAAATAAATGAGGTTGAAAAGCAGTGTCGATGTTTCCAAGGTTACATGAACAGTCTCCATGAATTGGCACATGCAAAAGAGGTGTGCCAATGTTCATGCATGAGTTGCTTGAACACTATCAATTTTCTTAAAATCTATTATAAAATATAATATCAAAATAAAAATTTGTTGTAAGGTTTTAACAAAATATTATATTATACTTTAATACTAAATCTTAATATAATCGAACTCCGGATCAGAGAGAACTTACAACTGACAAACAGATGCCCGACCAACTGATCTGAATACGATGTGTATATATATATAATATATATTTATAGATTAGTTGGTCGGACATCTGCTTGTATACATATATATATACACATATACTTGGAATGAAATGGTGTATTTGGTTTTATGAAACTTAAAATAATGACATTATTTTAAATGTGATATGAAAGATTTGAGTAATATAAACGTCGGAATTGGGTGATATGTATGAAATTGGCCACATATATGTATTTTCTGTAACCTTATAATTATTTATGTGAATGTACGTGTGCATATATAGAGAGATGAACTTTTTTATACTCTTATCTCTGTGTGTGGTGTATATATATATATATATTATAGATATATATTGAGCATATTGAAGCCATTTAAGGCCTAATAATGCACATAATATGAAATGCATCTTATTATCAAAAAGGGGTCTTATTTAGTCCCTATAATAAGTAATTAAGACTTATTACATGATAGATAATCAGTCAAAATGTATAGAGTTTTTTTTAGGGCAAGTACATGCAGAGCTGACATTTATGAACCGAGCATTTAGGTGATTATTTGAACGACAGAATCAATGCATTTATGCGAGCAACGATCAAATCATTGATAATTTGATAACAACGATAAATATGGGTTGGAATTTTATCATGAATTTTGATATTTATGTGAGAAATTTGAAAAATGGATGAAAGAAGGTGCTTGATTTGTAAATAAGGTGATATTTATGTATTTGCCCCTCAAATGGAGTCCCTTGTGAATCTTCATTATGTTAATAGAAGTTTATTGTTCTTATTTATAAAATAATAAACACAAGTCATATTTATAAATAAAATTTTCATGAGATTTTACATTTGTGCCACAAAAAAGCTATACATTTATAATATCTAATATTTAAAACTTCATATTTACTTATATATAAAAATATAAATTTTGAATTATTTCCGAAATTAAGCCATCTTTATCTTTTCTTAAATGAAAAACGTCTTTTAAGAATATTTTTCAATATTTTTAAAGAATATTATTTTATTTAAAAATGCGAACAAAAAAGTAAGAATTCTATAATATTGATGTGTGCTGGAAAATTTGCGGCGGTAGAGTAACAGACTATCACATGAAAGTTCAGTACACACACAGACGAAAGAGAAACAAGCAGTGATGACTCCAGAAATTTTTATGTGGAAAACCTGTAAGGAAAAAATCACGGGGTCTGATCTAGTTGCGGAAATCCACTATTGATTGATGATTATAGAAATCTCTTGTCTCATAGACGAGAAATGATAATTATATTTTTCAGATTACAACGTCGACTGACGGCGTATGGGGTCTGACCTAGTTGTTGAAATCTACTATTAATTGGTGATTATAGAAATCTCTTGTCTCACAGACGGGAAAGGGTAATTATATTTTTCATATTACAATGTCGACTGACGACGTCTGGTTGGTGGTGATCGATTGTAGTTAGTGGGGTTGATTGTAGTTAGTGGAGGTTGATGACAATCGGTGGTGGTCGTTGGAGGTCAGAGGTGGTTGACGGTTGTCGTCGGCGGTCGGCAGTGGTCGAAGACGGAGGTCAGCGGTGGTCGACGAAAATCGGCGGCGATGCTAAGCTGCAGTTTCTTCTCAATGCCTCAAACTCTCTACAATCATGCTAAAATATGTACAAATATTTTTTTTAAAAAATAGGATATTAACAGCCATTTTAATAACTAAAATATTTAATACAACCATATTAAAGTTGTGAGGTAGGTTTGTAAATCTTTTTTTAAATTTATCTTTCTGTATATTATAAAGACGAAACTTTAAAACCATTCACACAATTACCGATCTAGAGAGAAAGAGAAAGAGCGGAAGAAATCTCGCAATCAACGCTCGCGTTTTTCAGCTGCTTCTCTCTCTTCCCCGTTTGAAATACGAGCGAAAAAGAAAGAGAAAGCAAGTCGTTTGTAGATGGAGCATTCTACCGATACAAACCAGATTGCATTACCAATGTAAATTCATTACCTTTAATCTCCTCCGCCATTAAAGCCCTGCTCCCATGGTTAATGATTCTAGCTTCACCCTCCCCTCTTTATTCCTCTCCTGCTCTCTATTTCCTTCTCGGGGAAAATTTTCCGTTTTGGATCCTTCGAGGAAGTATCTCTTAGTTCGAAGAATCTGATTTTCTCATTTATAGCAGATTTCTCGATTCTTGGTATCCTGTTTTCTCGCTGCTGGAACTCGAATAAGAAACCAATTGAATCTGTCTGGAGTTCCTGATCTTACGCAAACTGTGAAATCCTAACGAGGAACCTGGATCTTGAATCAGAATGGGTAACTGCTGCGCGAGGCCTGTTGATTCTTCCGATAAGGTGGAGAAGAGGAAGAACAAGAAGGGGAAGAAGCAAAACCCTTTTTCCGTAGGGTACAAACGAAGTCCGATCGTCGGCGTGCCGAAGCTCGTGGTGCTCAAGCAGCCCACCGGCCGAGATATCGGCGGCAGGTACGAGCTCGGCGACGAGCTGGGAAGAGGAGAGTTCGGGATCACCTATCTCTGCACCGATAAAGCCACCGGGGAGAAATTTGCTTGCAAATCGATATCCAAGAGTAAGCTGAGGACTGCGGTCGATATCGAGGATGTGCGGCGTGAGGTCGATATCATGAGGCGTTTGCCCGTACATCCCAATATCGTGAGCCTCAAAGATACTTATGAGGACGATAGCGCTGTTCATCTTGTGATGGAGCTCTGTGAGGGTGGAGAGCTTTTTGACAGGATTGTTGCCAGAGGGCACTATACTGAGAGGGCGGCTGCTGCGGTCACCAAGACAATCGTTGAGGTCGTGCAGGTGAGATTTTTAGTTCTTGTTGATTTTGCTTAAGCAGGTTGATTGGCCGGCTTCTGAACTTTTTGTGCTTTATGATCTCTGTTTGATACTTAATGGCCTATGGTCTTTGTAGGGTTTAGGGTGAAGCATGGCTTTAGCAAATTTTGTAGATTTAGTTTTGATAAATTTTGAGTGCATTAAAATCTGAAAATTGTTTGGGTTGACAACTGTTTTATCTTGCCAAAGTTTGATAAATCATATGATATATGTTTTTAGATTTATGATTTATGAGATGAAAACTTCCTAAATCTGTTAACTGGACATGATTTATCAAAATAGTAGGTTTTAAAGCGTTCAAAATTCTGTTAGGTAGGATTCAAACTAAAATGAACTTAGATCCTACCTAAACTATGAAGCCAAATAGCCCCTGAAGGGTTTGCTTATTAATTTACGTATCTCATTTAGATTCTCCGCTTAAGTTATTCCAGTCAACAAAGCTTTCAACGTGTATGCTCATGGTGTGGTTACTTTTGTGGTTTAAGATTGCTCTACGTTTTGCCTCTGCGCGTTCTCTTGGTCTAAATATAGCTTTCTAGGATTAATTTCCTAAAAGCGTAAAAAGGCAAAATCTCAGAAACTTATTCCATAAACTTTATAAACCAAATCTTTTCGTGACTTTTATATTTGATTTTGTTTTATCCCACAAGTTAAATGTTAGTGCCTTTTTCTTATTTACCTTTTTTATTTTATTTTCTTGTGTTGGTGCATTCTTCATTTGTAATTCATACTTTCTATAGTTTATTTTGGTAGTATTTCCTCTTGTTGACTACAGATTTTGATGGGGTAACAAATTGTTGTTATGCTTCTTTTGCAGATGTGTCACAAGCATGGAGTGATGCATCGCGACCTAAAACCTGAGAACTTTTTGTTTGCTAATAAGAAGGAAAATTCTGCACTGAAGGCAATTGATTTTGGTCTGTCTATATTTTTCCGGCCTGGTATGTAAGGTTATTATTCTTGTTTTTTTTAGTATTGTGCTATTGTTTCCATATTTGCCTTTATATAGCTGCAAATGAACAGAGCCGGGTTGAGCAGGTGCCTATTCAAGCTCGAGCTCGCTTATTAAGAGGTTTTTTAAGCTCGGCTCGGGCTTAAGTTGAGCTTTTAAGGCTATGTTTAAGCTCGAGCTCGTTTATAAATGTCCTGTTGGAGTTTTGTTCATATAGGGGTCTGATCAAACTTATTAATGAGTAGCTCATTTAGCAGAGTAAACAACCCACAATTGAGCTTTAATTTAGCTTACTTGAGTTTTATATGATCAATTTGTTGGGGAAAATAACGAGGCATATCAAATAATGCTTGTTTAGTTTAAAAATAAAATTTAGGTGATGGTTGTTTGTGAACGAGCTGTAATCATGTTTGTTGCCGAGCTTTAAATGATACTATACATGAACATAAATGAATCAAACAAAAGCATATTCGCTTAGAAATTGAGTACTCATAAAATTGTTCAAGCTTGTTCGACTAATTAGTCAAACAATTACGAATGAGCTTCAGTTGAGCTGAAGCACGAGTAACTTGTCAAACTCTGGGCTCATTTGCAATTCTATGCTTTTGGTTTTATCTCATTGAATATGTGTAAGAATTCATAAATATTGAGCTGATATATTTTCTAGTCTTAATGTTTCTTCAACTTTTTGTTCGATGCCATGAATGATTTTTTTGTTTCATGAGCAGGCGAACGCTTTACCGAGATTGTGGGAAGTCCTTATTACATGGCTCCAGAGGTTCTGAAACGGAATTATAGCCAAGAAGTTGATGTGTGGAGTGCTGGAGTTATATTATACATATTGCTTTGTGGTGTGCCACCTTTTTGGGCCGGTAATGTTCTATCGTTTAGTGATCAGTATAATCAGGATTATAAATTTTTTGTTTTGTTCGTAGAATATGTTCTACAATAAAAATGTTTTCTATGCAGAAACTGAACAGGGAGTTGCGCAGGCAATTATTCGGTCCGTTGTGGATTTTAAGAGAGACCCGTGGCCTAAAATTTCAGAAAGCGCCAAAGATCTGGTTAAGAAGATGCTTGATCCAGACCCAAAGCGCCGCTTAACAGCTCAAGAAGTGCTAGGTAAATATCATATTTAAACATTATTTTTTGTAGTTTTCATCATCATCAAATTGATCATGGCATCTTGACACATTAATTAAAACCATTTTAACTTTAAAAAGTGAAGTATACCTTTCCATGCATACATAAGTTGGCATGTATGTAAAAGTTGAAGTTTAGCTTTTAGATTTGTAAATGCATAGTAATTAGCTGGTATGTATGTAAATCTTCCTTATTATTTTCTTTATGAGCATATTTTTCTTGTATTTTTGCACTTACACTCAAATATAATGAAGACTGATCAGCTATATGCCTTCGTCTGGATCGTACTGACATTTAACTTGCCATTTTCTATTGCAGGTCATCCATGGTTGCAGAATGCCAAGACGGCTCCGAATGTTAATCTGGGCGAAACTGTTCGAGCCAGACTTCAACAATTTTCTTTGATGAACAAGTTCAAAAAGAGAGCTCTTAGAGTAAGATTCATCCTCTGTAGCACCCAATCCTCTTATATGACCTTCGACACTAAACTCTTTATCTGCTTGAACTTTGTCTCAAAGCATTTGGAAGCCTGATTTTGCAGGTTGTGGCTGAGCATTTATCTGTGGAGGAAGTTGCAGATATAAAGATAATGTTTGAAAGTATGGACATAAACAGAAAAGGGAGAATCACACTGGAAGAGCTCAAGTCTGGACTCCATAAGCTCGGCCACCAGATTCCTGATGCAGATGTTCAGATACTAATGAATGCAGTAAGTGTTCGATTTATTTGTAGTATGCTCTAGACTTGTTTCAAAGATTTAATTTCTATTTGGGGTTCTACTTTTTCGAAAATATTTTGGTGAGAAGCTGTATTTTATTATCAAATTTGTAAAGTGCGGTGGTTTTAAGAAAGTAGTTGTCTGACTTTTAGGAAAAAAAAAATATATTTATAAATCACATCATAATTTTCTAATAAATTATTTTCCCCGACATAGCTTTACGAATCCTTTACAAAAAGCCGCAACTGCCCCAAACAGACTCTTAGTCCAGCATTAAGTACTTTTTTTCTGAAAACAGACACAAAGATCATGATTTTTTTGTTCTTGTTTTAAGTTCATCCTTACATGATGAGCTTCATCCATTTGTGATGGCAGGCAGATGTTGATGGAGATGGAACACTAGAATATGGTGAATTTGTCGCTCTGTCAATTCACTTGAAGAAGTTGGGGAACGACGAACATCTTCACAAAGCCTTCGCTTACTTCGATCAAAACAAGAGTGGCTATATCGAAATCGAAGAGCTGAGCGAGGCACTCGCCGACGACTTGGGTCCTAACCATGATGAAGTCATCAATGCCATCATCCGAGATGTCGATACCGACAAGGTCAGTTCAACATATGATTACTCACAACCTTCGTACACAAAGTCAATTGAGATTTCTTAGATTTGGGCTTGACGTGCGAACCTTCGCTTTACCAGGACGGAAAAATTAGCTACGAGGAGTTTGCGACGATGATGAAGGCCGGTACGGATTGGAGGAAGGTGTCGAGGCAGTATTCGCGCGAACGCTTCAATAGCCTTAGTTTGAGGTTGATGAAAGATGGCTCATTGCAGCTAAACAATGAGGGTAACTGAATTCTTTGGCCATTTTCACTTGGCTCTTCTTCCCTTTGCTTTGGAGTGACATGAAATATATAGGAAGTGGGGTGTATATATGTGTAATGTTCTCCAAGAGCTTAGTGTTGTTGGAATTGAAAATAATTATAAGTCTATGCCTTTTTCTGGGCTCTATTTCTTACTAATTGTTTCACATCACCTGTAAAAAGAAGAAATTGAGATGAAGTGTTTTCAAGGATGAGCATGGAAGGTATTATTTTAGAATAGTTTATTTGCCATAATAAATGTTCAGAGCAGTACAGTTCTTCACATAATGAGAACAACTGCTCATAAAAATCTCTTCACTAAAGCTGAATTCAAAATTTTGAGGCTTTAATTGTATAAAAAGTGGGTGGAAAATTTTAAAAGTTGATTCATAGTCAACTTACTAATTTTTTATTTTTTATTTTATTCAACTTGTTTTTTTTCCTAGGAAAATTTGCATACATACTAGACGTTTCTTTTGTATTTACATATCTAACCCCTAAATTTTGATATTTACGGTTATAATACTTTGGTGTGACATAAGTTTATGCATGAAAAATATGTATTTCATTTTTTAAAAGTATATAATGGAAGTTTTCATCAAGTGTTGTTAGTATAGATATAAAAGTCTTGGAGTTATATTTGCAAATACATACGAATTATGTGGTATGCATGTAAATATACTTATTTGAAAGTGAAACATTTCTAACCATATGATCATGATGGCAAGAGCCATAAATTGTGGAGAATACTTTGCGCAATAACATTTAATACATTACTTGAATTCTTTTGATGGACTTTTGTGCAAATTTCATTTAATACATTGGATTTTTTTTTTTTTGCACATTTGTTGGGGGGAGAAAGATTGCGGCCATCTATAATTAGGAAAATTATTGCATACGAACGGCGTATGCAGAGATGCATGCGTCATATGATCTCTACCGTTGATCATACCAAAGTTGTATTTTGGTCAGCCATTTTAAAAAAAAAAAAAATTGATAAAAGCTTTGATCAATGGTGGAGATCGCACGGCGCATGCATTTGATAAAATCTTTGATCAATGGTGGAGATCGCACGGCGCATGCATCTCTGCATAGGCCGTCCGTATGGAATAATTTTTCGACTAAGATTATTGTGTTGTTGGTTGTTGGAATTTGTTACTTGTGGACTATACAATTTAAAATGTTATAAAATTAATTCCACTTTTACAACTTTATTATTATTATTATTATTATTATTTCTTGTCTTATATAACGTTTTTTTTCGTGTGGTTGGGTGAGATTTGAAATATAAAATTGCAAACCAAATTGGAAAAAGATTTTTATAATTTGAAGACTTTCTAGAAGAGACTTGATATTCTATTGGAGTTGTAAAGTAGAAACGGTGATTTTTGTTTCTATTGTGTTTGATGCGTATAGAGTTAAAATTTTCTTTTAGGGAATCATGACAATTGACAATATAACTTTCGAGACCTTGCTAAGTTGCTATTAAAGAGGGAGTAAAATGT